ATTTTAAATGGTTGGTCTAAGCCCCTGTTCTCAGTCCTAGTGCTTTGAACATTGTTGACTCCACTGTCCCAACCTGAGAAGTAGGCACTTGACTGAGACTTGGCCACTCAGTCTATTCATCTCTCTGGCCACAGGGGTTGGTTCAAGGATGGGTAAGTGACCCAGGTTGGTCCCATGATAGTCTGTTCATGACTTTTGCTGGGAAAGAGAATCTCTCTTTTTCCAGGGTTGCCCATCTGTTAAGTTATAAACCTGGAGCTCTGGTGGTCGTCTTTGGTATCAATGGAGAGAACCTGCCCAAGAATTAAACGCATAAGAAAGAAGAAAGAGAATCCTGATGATCTTGATAGCATCATTTGAGCAACTGGATTCAGTCTCTGGACTTGTCAGTTGTGTGAACCCCTAAATTCCTTTTTTTTTTTTTTTTTTGGCTTATATTGATTTAAGCTGGGTTTCTGTAACTTGTAACCCAAAGAGACCTGGCTAATGAAGGCAAATTCCTTGCTTACAGTTTGAAATAGATGCTCTGATGCTGTATAAATATGAGAGTAAAATCTGGACATAGACAAAAGGAAATGGGTTCAGAAATAGCCTCATATGAAGTGAAAAAAATAGTTTACTCAATAGCCAGTGCACCCCCTTTTCTTTCCCTGTTTGTTTTTATCCACCATAAGCAAGGAAGCAGGACACCTTACGGGTCTTTGAAAAAGCCTGAAGACTGGGTGTCTGTTTTGTGTCTAAGCTGCAGCTGGGTGTGAGAAAGAAACAAAGATCTTGTCTCAAACTTGGTAACGTTGTACTGTGGGAATCCACGCCCACAGCTCAGGCTCTGTGACTCTGTCTAATTAACTGTGGTCTCTGGGTCTTGGTTTCATTACCCATAAAAAGAGGCAGCTGGACTAAGATCCCTTCTAGTATTAATGTCCCAAGATCTTATCGCAGAGCTCCCAAGGGAGGCTATAGGAGAAATTTGTGTCACGTGGAGAGACCCTACCTAGGGTTGGTGAGGCTTGGTTTGTCAATTCCAAAATGGAAGTGGATCAGTGGTGGGTGTGGTTCTCTGAAAATGCAGCATGGTTGAAATGAATCAATGTGGGCATTCTTTGATGAATGTCCTTGTTTTATGTGCGTATCAATTCTGCTTTTCAGACCAGTCAAACCAGGCCCCCAAGTCTAGCCAGAGGGCTGTTGATCTCACCTTGACTCTGAGAACTGGGAAAGCCTGGGATGAGCCTGGCATCATGCGAAACTACATCGAGGGGCTCAACAAGGTCATCAAATCAATCTCTCGGGCTTCCCTGGTGGCGCAGTGGTTGGGAGTCTGCCTGCCGATGCAGGGGACATGGGTTCATGCCCCGGTCTGGGAAGATCCCACATGCCGCTGGGCCCGTGAGCCATGGCCGCTGAGCCTGCGCGTCCGGAGCCTGTTGCTCTGCAATGTGAGAGGCCCGCGTACCGAAAAAAGAAATAAAAATCAATCTCTCCTCTTCTCTCTCCCCCTCTGTGTCTCTGTCTCTCTCTCCCCAACTCCTCATTCCCACTTGGTTTTTGCCTGTCAGCTTCATTCTCAGGAAGGCTTTCCCCACGTGGAGACAGAAATGGCAACCAGCAGTTCCAGAAAAAGACCCAAGGCAGACATTAAATGGCCCTGCTTCTACCCCTGAACCAGCTGGGCTGAAGAGGCACAAAACCTCCATCCACTAACCCTGTCCACAGAGTTTGAATTTTATTCGGAGGAACAAAGGAGGAATCTTAAAACATTTGAGTAGGGGATTGACATGGTCAGATCTGTGCATTAGGGAGGAGTCTGGCTGAGGCGCAGGGATTGGGGCAACAGAGGAGATGGAGCTAGAGAGACTTGTTAGAGGCTCTTGGAATCATTCTGGGCAGAAGTGAGCAGGGGTTGAACTAGACTACAGTAAGTCCCCTATATAGGCACGAGTTCTGTTCCGAGAGCGTTTGTAAGTCCAACAAAGTTAGCCTTAGGTACCCAACTAACACAATCGGCTATATAGTACTGTACTGTGATAGTTTTATAATACTTTTCACACAAACAATACACAAAAAATAAAACATGTTTAATCTTACAGTGCAGTACCTTGAAAAGTACAGCAGTGCACTACAACAGCTGGCATACAGGGGCTGGCCTCGAGTGAACAGGCAAGAAGGGTTACTGACTAGAGGAGGGAGAAGAGGGAGGAGATGATAGAGCTGAAGGATTGTCAGCAATAGGAGACAGAGGGCAAGCTGCAATTTCACGTGAACTAACTTACGTGATTGGACGTGCGAACACATGTTTGAATCTTTGAAAGTTCACCACTTGAGGGTTCATATGTAGGGGATTTCCTGTAATGGCAGTTGGGACGGAGGATGTATCAGTCAGGAAAGAAATTGGTGTCAGCAGAGTGGAAAAGAGTTGCTGGTTGAGGGAGGGTGGGAGGGAGACCCAAGAAGGAGGAGATATGGGGATATATGTGTATGTATAGCTGATTCACTTTGTTGTAAAGCAGAAACTAACACACCATTGTAAAGCAATTATACTCCCAAAAAGATGTTAAAAAAAAAAAAAAAAAAAGAGTTGCTGGTTGATTAGCAGCATTGGGAAAGAAAGAAGTGTTGTTTATCGAATGCCACCCACGAGTTGGGCCCTGGGCCTGGCAGTCTGGTGGAAGAGCTGGACCTGTAAACAATTACTATCCAATGTACTGATCACTGTGAGAGAGGGGTGCATCGGGAGCCACTAGTACAGGGGAGAAAAGAAAGCCTTTGCGGAGTGGCTGTGCGGGGGAGGGAGGTATGAGTCCTTAGCAAACAAGGACCAAGACATTGCAGGCCTGCGCCAAAGGCAAAGAATAGAGTCCAGAAATATTGTTGGCCAGAAAAACCACATCCAAACGAAAGATATGTGTGTGTGTATATATATATATATATTTATATATATTTTTTTTTTTTTTTTTTTTTTGGCTGCGTTGGCTCTTGGTTGCTGCGCGGGGTCCTCCTCTAGTTGCGGCGAGTGGGGGCCACTCTTCATTGCAGTGAGCGGGTTTCTCATTGGGTGGCTTCTCTTGTTGCGGAGCGCGGGCTCTAGGTGCACAGGCTTCAGCAGTTGTGGCATGCGGGCTCAGCAGTTGTGGCGCATGGGCTTAGTTGCTCCGTGGCATGTGGGATCTTCCCAAACCAGGGCTCGAACCCGTGTCCCCTGCGTTGGCAGGTGGATTCTTAACCACTGCGCCACCAGGGAAGCCCCAAAGATATATTTAATTTTGCTCATCTAACATTTTTAGAAATTTTTGAATTGGTTGCTGATGTAAAAAGATCTGGAGCTTTCATTTAAAAATCCATATTTCTAACTTGTCTTGAAAAACCAGAAGCACCAGAAGGTTTAGCTACACAGTGCCCTCATTCTTGCCCAGTGACAAAGGGCTAGAGCAGCTGCAGTCCCTCCAGTCCCGATTAGAACTCACCTGGCCTGCATCAGCAATTCGCGTTACCCATGGTGGCTTAAAGATGGCTGCAAATCCTTTGTAACTCTCTGCATCAAAAGGAGGAGTTAATTTTCCCTCTCCTGGGATCTGGGCTGGTCCTGTAACTGCTTAACTAAAAGAATGTGGTGGAAGTAACCCTATGCAAATCACAGGCCTATCCTCTTGGAGCAGTCTCTCAGGACACTCCCTTTCCAAACTCTAAAATAATGAGAGCTAATAAAGCAGTTATCATTTTAAGTCACAAAGTTTTGGAATGGTTTACTCCGTACAGGTAACTGGAACACCCACCTCCACTCCTTCCCTTGTAGACATCTGAGGGCTCAGCCTTTGGACCAGAGGAATGAGGGAGCATGTTGAGCTTGGGTGATGATGAACAGCAAGGCCAGAAGGGTGGATGGGGGAAGATCATGAAGGGCTTTTGATGCCATGCTGAGAGAGTTTCAGAGTTTTCCCAGAAATGTTCAGGAGCTGGTAGCGTTTTGTAAGGTCGGCATAGCATGACTGGGGAGGTGACTCTAGTGATGCTGTAGAACAGGGGTCCCCAACCCCTGGACCACGGACTGGTACCGGTCCATGGCCTGTTAGGAACCGGGCTGCACAGCAGGAGTTGAGCGGAGGGCGAGCGAGTGAAGTTTCATCTGTATTTACAGCCGCTCCCCATCGCTCACATTACCGCCTCCTGTCAGCATTATGGTGAGTTGTATAATTATTTTATTATGTATTACAATAATTTAAGTAATAGAAATGAAGTGCACAATAAATGTGATGTGCTTGAATCATCCCAAAACCATCCCCTCCCGCCCCGGTCTGTGGAAAAATTGTCTTCCACGAAACCAGTCCCTGGTAGAAGATGAATCAGAAGAAGGCGATCGGTCAGGGAGCTAGCACAATGGTCCAAGCAGCACAGCTCAGGCGGTGGTGGTGGGCATGGAGAGAAAGGGAGAGATTCAAGGTCAAGACTTTCTCCTCTTGTGAGGCTCTCCCTGAGGTCCTAGTGGGACATGCCGGTCGAGCCATGGAGTTGCTAGTCAGAACTAGGGAGCACAGGCAGTAAGACTGAGCCACAGAGACAGACTGGGGACTGTCAAAGTTTGAACTTGTGGATATGGAAGAGATGGTGTAGGGAGATTGGGTGCATTGGAAGAGGTGGGGTCCTGGGAGCATCCTACAGACAGTTGTGTTAAGCAAAGGGAGAGACACCCTGCAGGGGACTGAGAGAAAGCTGCAGAGCAAAGAAGGGAACCAGGAGATGGTGGGGCCCAGACACAAAAGAAAGGAAAGATTCTAGAGGAAGGGAGTGGTAGGTAGCATCAGATGATCACCAGAACGTGCTCATTTGACGTAATGATCAGGAGATCACTGGTGGCTGAGGCAAGGGCACGTCTGTGTGGAAAGGTGGGAACAGAAGCCAGACTCATGAGACTAAGTAGGAAATGAGGAAGTGAAGACAGTAAGTGTAAACAACTCTTTCAAGAAACTTGATTGTGAACCGTAAGACAGAGATAGGGAAGTGGTTTGAGGTTGCCAAGTCGAGAGAGGTTCCCCCAAAGACACAGGGGAACTCAGCTTGTTTTCAGATACTGAAGAGAGAGGGTCTGTGGAGAGGAGAACTTGGCAGTGCAGGAGAAAGGGGTTAAACGATGGAGTGAGGTCACTGAGGAAGTGGGAAGGAATGTGTCCCAAGAGGGAGGCATCAGCCTTGGGCCCTAGGAGGACACCTCCCCTGTAACGACAGTCTATGGTTGTTTCTAGGAGCTGGAGATGTTGTTGCTGTTGGGAGTAAAGGGGTTGAAAGAATTCTTGCCTCTTTTCTCCATAAAATAGGAGCAGTGATCATCTCATAAAGGTAAGGAAGGCAGCCTGAGGAGGTGGCTGGCGAGAAGTGGCCAGCAAGGTTGGCTTAGACCTGAGCCTGTGGACAAGGCATGTTTACGTGCCTCCTGCTTAAGGCCAGGATGGTTCCTGAATGTGGGTCAGGGCGGAGCCTGAAGGTGGATGGAGGACCACGGCTGTGAGAAGGCCTGGGGGCCACAGGGGCAGGGTCCAGGCTGTCAGAGTAACTTCTTGCAAATGAGACCCTGTCACTTCTTTACTTAGAGACTTGCATAGGGAGCAAACTCCTTGAGAAGACACAGCTTGAGGTCCCTCATGAGCTGCCTCCTGGGGATTTTCCCAGCTTCACCACTTTCCCCTTCATCCCAAGCACCTGAGCTCCAGCCATGGTGAAGAGCTCACCATTCCCTTAAAACGTCATTGTCCCTTCCTTGCTTTTCTTCCTCTCTCTTCTCTGCTTGGCAAACTCTTATTCAAGACCCAGTATAAGTGTAATTTCATTCACCCGTTCCACCACCATCTACGGACCATGCTTCAATCCTGGTTCGCCCTCCAGATCCCACTGCTCTTGGCTTTTGTGCCCTCCTCCGCTTCGAGAGGTCGACTGGTGTTGGGGAAATTAATAAAGCAGTCTTGTTCAGGCTTCAGAGGTAGAAGCAGGCCTCTGACCGACCGGTGACCCTGCCTGGACTGTGGGCTTACTTGCACACGCAACAATTGCTGCTAGCAAGTCAAGCAGCGCTTACGATAAGAAAGGGAGTGGGTCTTGGAATTCCTTGAGCCCTGGGGACCTGGCCAGTCCCCCAGGGTCTGGAAAATCTTGTGACCCACATGGTGAAACCAACAGCATTATTAAAGTAAACTCAGAGCTCCATCTTTGCACGCAAACTGATCGTATCGGTTTGCGGCCTGGAATTAGAAACGGAAGCCCCCAGAACTCCAGTCTGAAGTCTCACCTGTGGGGTGGACGCACCGCCCGGGAACCTTCCCAACTGGGGCTCCAGATTGCTGTCCCTCGGGACTTCCCAGCTGTTACTCGGATCTGGAAGTAGGTGTCGGCCCAATTCGGTGATGTATATACCCTGTTATGTTTCTCTAATATTCTTGTTCCTTTCCTTCTAAAGATTGTATATTAAAATTAAGTTAAATCACCTTTCATTAAAGAATTGATTAAAGCTGTTTATTTGTGTGAAACGAGTGGTTATTTTGTCAACAAATCCAACGAACCTTAAAACCCTTAAAACCGAAAGCAGGCTTTCGGCAAAACAACTGGAAACCGTGAATGGACTCATGGGTTTCAAGGGTCACACAGACTTGTATTTGGATCCCAGTTTGTGTGACTGTGGGTAGGTCATTTACTGCCTGTGAGCCTCATTTTGGTCATCTGTAAAAGAGGGGCAATAAAACACATCACAGAGCTCTTGAGACTCTTCAGTGATGGAATGTTGGTGCAGCACCAAGGACCCAGTGCTGCTTGGAGCATTCAGGACTCTTGGTTGTAAGTGACAGAATCTAATTTTTAAAAATCTACTTTTAGGGACTTCCCTGGTGGCACAGTGGTTAAGAATCCACCTGCCAATGCAGGGGACATGGATTTGAGCCCTGGTCCGGGAAGATCCCATGTGCCACAGAGCAACTAAGCCCATGTGCCACAACTACTGAGCCTGAGCTCTAGAGCTGGCAAGCCACAACTACTGAAGTTTGTGCACCTAGAGCCCGTGCTCTGCAGCAAGAGAAGCCACCACAATGAGAAGCCTGAGCACTGCGACCAAGAGTAGCCCCCGCTCGCTGCAACTAGAGAAAGCCCACGCGCAGCAACGAAGACCCAATGCAGACAAAAATAAATAAATGAATAAACAAACCAGGGTCTCCCTGCTTTAAAACTCATGCTTTAAAAAAAAAAAAAAATCTCCTTTTACAGTTGATTTGTTTGAATCAGGATCCAGAGAAAGTTCACATGTTACCGTTAGTTGATATGTTTCTTAAGCCTCTTTTAATATATTTCCCCTCCTTTGAATGCCATTTATTTGTTGAAGCCAGATCGTTTATCCTATAAAATTTTCTACATTATGGATTTAGGTAATTGCTTCCTCCTGGTATTGTTTCACCTGGTCTTCTATCCTTTTTATTTCCTATGAACTAACAGCGAGATCTAGAGGCTCCATTAGATTCTGGCTGGTTATGATGATGGTGACGGGGATGGTGATGATTTTGGCAAGAATACTGCAAAGGTGATGCTACATACTTACTATATCATTTTATGGGAGGCATGTAATATCTGGGTGTCCTACTTTGGGTGATGTTAAGAGTCATTTCTGGGTTCTTTTTTTCTTTTCTTTTTTTAGGTAATCATGGAGATTTGAACATAAATTGGGAATTAGATGATGTTAAGAAATTATTGCTAGGGACTTCCCTGGTGGTCCCCCGGTTAAGAATCCGCCTTCCAGTGCAGGGGACGCGGGTTCGTTACCTAGTTGGGGAACTAGATCCCACATGCCGCAGGGTAGCTAAGCCCACACACCACAAATACTGAGCATGCACACCACAACTAGAGAGAAGCCCGCGCACCGCAACGAAAGATCCCGCATGCCGCAAGGAAGATCCCATGTGCCGCCACTAAGACCCGATGCAGCCAAAAATAAATAAATATTTTTTTTAAAAATAAGAGAGCTTCCCTGGTGGCGCAGTGGTTAGGAATCCGCCTGCCAATGCAGGGGACAGGGGTTTGAGTCCTGGTCGGGGAAGATCCCACATACTGCAGAGCAACTGGGCCTGTGCACCACAACTACTGAAGCCCCCACGCCTGGAGCCCGTGCTCCACAACAAGAGAAGCCACCGCTGTGAGAAGCCCGCGCACCGCAACGAAGAGTGGCCCCCGCTCGCCACAACTAGAGGAGGCCCACGTGCAGCAACAAAGACACAACGCAGCCAAAAGAAATAAATATTAAAAAATTAAAAAAAAAAAGAAATTATTGCTAAACATTTTAGGTATAATTATGTATTACATAGTGGTATTGTGCTTGGGTAAAATAAAAATCCTTATCTGACATACAATAACATGGATTAATTTCAAAACATTATGCTGAATGGAAAAAGACAGACCCATACTGTATGATTTCATTTGTATGGAACATTCTAGAGCAGGCAAAACTAATCTATACTGACAGAAAGCAGGTCAGTGGTTGCCGGGGTCTGAGGGTGGAAACTGATTGTAGAAGGGTGTGAACTTTTAGGAGTGATGGAAATATTTTATATCTTGATTATGGTGGTAATTACTTGGGTATATACATTTGTCCAAACTAATTGAACCATGCACTTAAACTGAGTGTGCTATATTGTATGGGAATAAAGATGTATTTTATTGTATGTAAATAAAGTTGATTTTTGAAAGGAAATAAAATAAGGTTACAACTAGAATGAGAAGAATCCATTCAAAATAGCCACAAAACTATAATACACCTATTGGGGGGGGAGAAATTTAATGATATACTAGACCTTTATAGAGAAAATTATAAAATCATATTAAGGGACATAAAAGAAGACATAAATATATGGAGAAATACACTATATTCATGGATGGAAGTCTTAATATCCTTCTCAAATTAATCTATAAAGTTAATGCAATTTTATTAAAAACTCTAAGAGTTTAAAAGTCTTTATCTGTTGGAAATAAATGCAGAAGTACTTAAGTTGAAATGCTATGATGTCTTGGATTTCTTTTAATAGATGCCAAGAAAATAATGTGGAAGAAGGAATGAACGAGAATTGGCCATGTGTTGGTACTTGTTGAAGCTGGGTGATGGGTACACACTCTAGTGTAAGTGAGCAGTGCTGTGCACCTTTACTGGTGAGGAAACATCACTGCGCTGGGGCAGCAGGAGAACCATGAAGGAAAGGTTCTCTGGGGCTGACACCATCATGCTCTACAGACCTTTAGGGCAGGACAGACCAGAGGAGGTCTTGTGGGCCTTGCTAAGGAGTTTGAATTTTATCCCGTGCTCAGCATTTCAGTCTCTCTTTACTCTGTGTATCTGGCACCTTGGAAGGGCCCCCGGTCCTGTCTCCCTCCATGGTGGGTGTACCAGTCAGAACACTTTCAACTGTAAATGCCAGAAACCAACCCAAACGTAGTGACTTATGCGGAAAAAGGAACTTATGAAAGGTTAAGGGACTCAGGCACAGCTTGACCCCGATACTCAAATGATGTCAAGAGTATGGCTGTCTTCACATCCTGTGTCTGCAGTCCTCTGTGTGGGCTCATTCTGGGTGGCTTTTCCTGCATGGTGTCAAGATGGTCACTAGTAGTCCTGGGCTTACAGCCTTTTAGCTTACTAACCCCCAGTGGAAAGAGGGCTCTTTTTCCTAGCAGCTCCAGTGAATCTACTTCTGCATGCATAGACTTGATTTAAGTGTCCACCCCTTTTGATTGAACCAATCAAAAAAGGTAGCTTTGACTGGGGAAACGTGGACTGTGTGCCTACCCTGGACACCCTCTCAAACCTCAAGGATTGCCAGTGCATAAAGGTTGGTTTCTTCAAGGAAAACCCAGATGCAGCCTCCAGGAAAGAGGGGATGGTAAGATGCTGGTCCAGTGGCATCTGGCAGGAACGCCTTCCCAACACCCCTCACAGGAAGGATCAGCCTTATCTTAATCGCATGAAGAGCCGCATGGCAGGGCCCTTCAGCACCCGCTACTGAACTAATGCTCACTCTTGTTTTGCTGGGACAGCTGCTGCCTCGCAGCCTCCACTACCAGCTCGCGCCTGTGCCCCCCCGCCCCACAGCAGACCAGCTGCGATGAGAAAGTAGCCTCTGCGCATCCCCACCTTTCCCTCTCCATGCCTGTCAGGCTCCGCCTCAGGGGGCATGGTTTTCGGGCCCCTCACAACGTGCTTGTCCTCTGCCTGGAAATGAGGTGCCCCAGGACTGAAGATCATGGGTGCCTCAGTTTCCTCTCTTTACATTAGAGGTGGTACCTGCCCCCCGGGCGTGTTGTGAGGACTAAGTGAGTGCAGCGTACTTATAGCGTTAGAGCAGTGCCCAGCACACGGTCGGTGCCCAGTAAATCCCAGCCCTTATTCTCATCACTTCCGCTGGAGACACAATCCCTGCCCATCCCCATCCAGTCCAGTCCAGTAGCAGGCTCTCAGGTGAAATACAACACGGAGATTCTTACAGTTGGATGCTTGAATGGAATAAAAGTGTGTAGGACACTTTTATAACCACTCGAGCCTCATAACTGTGAGCTGGACGGGACAAATCATATTTAGCCTCCATTTACAGATGAAGAAACAGAGGTTTAGACCTCTTGCCCAAGATCACGCAGCCAAGCTGTGGTGGAGGCAGGATTTGAACCAGGGACTGAAGGATCACATCGTTGGGACTTTGCTCAAGCTGCCCCCTGCTGACAAGACCTCCTCCGGTCACGCCTGTTGGCCCCTTCTCATCCTTTCAGGTTCAGTCCCAATACTCTAAACAGTAACAGTGGTGAGAGGCAACATTTATTAAGTGCTTGCTACACTTTGGATGAGGTGCAGAAGGCTTTCTGTTCCAATAAAGTCAGGAGGTAGGTATGACGCTGTTACAGAAAGAGAAACTGAGGCTGACAGAGATTAAGGAACCTGACCAGCGTCACTCAGTAGGTGTGCCGGCCGGCCAGGAGTCAAGCTCGTAAAGCAGTCTGATTCTAGAGCGGGTCTTTCCACATTGCTACCTCCGATACTCTGATGCCAAGGATGGGAACTAACTCCTTCCTCTTAGTCTGAAGTCTGGGCTTCGGCCTCTACTTAGCTCTTGGAGCTGTTATTTGTACCTCTCCTTTCAGTAGACTGAGAGCTCTTTGGGGCAGGAACTCAACTCTGACTTTTTCACTTCGTAGCCCCTGCGCAAAGAGGCTCTCCATAACACCAAATTATTTCATTCGCCCCTGTGAGGCACGCAGAGGTGCTCCTAGGTGAGGACAGACCCAGAGAAGTTAAGTGACTCTCCCAAGGCTACCTGCTTGTAAATGTAGGAGCCTGGAGAGGCCCCAGGCTTCCTGGGTGCAGGTGGGTGCAGGGTTCTCCCATCTCCTTGTCCCCCCCCCCCCCCCCCCCCCCTCCTTTCTCCCGGGGGGGCGGGGGGGGGGGAATGGGTGGGCAGAGCCTGCCGTGGGGGGGGGGGGGGGGGGGGCGGGGGGGGGCTGTACCAAGGCCCGCTGGGAGGACTGATGGGCCCTTTTATGAATGCCAGGCAAAGGATGGCGAGTAGGCTGGGGGTGGGCTGAAGGAGGGAAGAAGGAACGGGTATTTTTTACATTTTGACATTAAAAAGTGCAGATCAGATTGTCAGCGACGGGCCAGCAGCATCTGTTTTGGTTTCGAATTGGCAGCTAAGGCGCTGAGCTTCTCCGCGGAGGGAGGGGAGGGGAGGGGAGGGGAGGCTGCGGTCTGGTGGGGCGAGGCGGCGCCTCTGCGGAGGGAATGGCTCTCCCCTTTAAGAGCTCCGCCCAAAGGGGCGCTGCCACCCCTAAGGAGGCGGGCGCCGCCGCTTCTCATTCATTGTCTTGACAAGAGCATCCTCAGCCGGCAGTCGCAGGCTCCTCCAGCTGCTTCCTCCTCCTCCTCTCCCTCCTCCGTCTGGGGGGTCACTCATCTCTCAGCAGCAGGTAAGGCTGGAGCCCGGGGACGGGACTCGGCATCGCTGCCCTGGGCCACCTGTGGGGCAGGCGGGAGCCTGGCAGAAGCCCTCTGCGGGGGCCGACAGACTGTCAGAGCGAGCTGGCTCGGAGGCGGGGACAGAGCCCGTTCACGCCCCGCGTGGCGGGACTCGCCTGGGGTGTGGGTGCGCGGAGGAGGGTCCGTCTGCGTGTCTGAGAGCTCCGGGAGCGGGCGAGGGTGAGGGACCACCGCAGCCAAGATGGTGGTGGGGGAGCCCGGGGGTCAGGACACGCGCCGACCGGACTCTCCCCAGAATGGGAGTCTTTGGGGTGGCCGTCGGGGGCAGGGTGGGGTAAGACCAGCAGCTGCCCTGAGCTTGGAGACAGGAAGGGGTTGAGAGCAAAACAAGAAAAGACCAAGTTCCCCTTTCCGTGGTTTCCGGGCCTGGTACCTGCGGTGGGGAAGGAGGTGGGGTGGCACGATGGCTTCCTGTCTCCCAACCTCCGATTTGCGGCTCCCTCTCCCCAGGCCCAGGCTTCCCATCTGGGATGGATCCCCTGCCCCCAGACTGCTTCTCCTCACGCAAGCTCCTCACCTGCTTTCCGGGCAGGTGGACCCCGGAGCCTCCTGGAGGGTCACGGGATGGGCGAGGCTGGCTGGAGCCCCCAGTGAGAAGGGCTAGGCCTGAAGGGGGGGCAAAAGGGTGCAGCTGGGGCCGTGGAGGAGAGGCCCTGGGGGGGCCCCCACGGTGAGCTGGAAGGTGATGCTGTTGGGCGCCAGGATGGGGGCCTGGAGCCTGGGGAGCCAGAGGCAGGCCCCTTGGCTTCGCTGTCACCCAGCCCGGGGGGAAAACCATCCT